TTAACCACAGAAAACCAAGCAGGTTGTCAACTGTTTGGCTTGCGATATGACAAGCTTGAATGTGCTCACGCCTACACTCCACGCCTGTATGTTTGCTGAGCGCCTTGTGTATGAGCTATATGATTCTTTCATGAGCTGTGTGGTGGCTGGCCTTTCATAGGCGTGCTCTCATTGAGCACTTAATCAATACCTGTCATCTTGAACTCATCCTCTAAAGTGGGCCCCTGTTCTTTGTCTGCCCCGTAATCCATCTCCATACAGCGATTTGAATTTGTATTACACACTAAAAGGACCTTCTTCACTATCAGAAGACTTAACAGATTGTTTAAGGACCCTCAGTACGTATTTTCATAAGCACAAGACCTGGTTTAGAAAAATCTATACAAGGGCCTGAGGACCTGGAGCACTATGGCAAGCAGGGTAAGCCAGGAACGTGTGGAGAATCTTAGATTTGGAGGAAGGCAATTTCAGTGTCTTGGTTTTTCTGATTGTTTTGTTAAAGCTGGTTTTATTGCTGTTGCTCAGATCTTCTGTCTGTCTATTTGCTTTGGGTTTAAGGAGTCGCCAAAGGTAATTTATAGTATTTCCACCCCTAGGAGAGTATTTGATAAGGCACTTCTGAAGCTGCCCGGCTACAGGCTCGAAAAAAGGGGAGAGAAACTCGCTTTGGATTCGGCATGAGTACGGTTTCTAAATCACTGGCAGCTTCTTGTGATTGTACTTTTGCTAGTCTATCTGTAGTAAAGACTGATAGTACTCTGGGTGCAACGCTAGAGTGATTGTAGTTTGTGAGTTTATCTGATGTAAACATTGATAGTATTGGAAGCACAAAGACACAATGCATTTAAGGGTTTCTTTTTCTTTACTCAACTTCTGTGTTCCAGTCCTGCAGCTCAGCCCTCTCAGAAACAAATGTGCAGCGATCCATGCTCTTAACACAGTTAAGAAAATAGTTTGGGAAAATTGGACCTTGAAGAATTCAGAGTGGCTGAGTAATTGGAGGTCAATGGAAAGCAATGCTCCACGACAGAGTTGAACCCGCAGAGAGAGAGCGAGCAGGGTGGAGAGACAGAGAGAGAGAGAGAGAGAGAGAGAGGAGCCAGCAGAGTGTCAATCAGTCTGCGTTTTGCCCGCATTGCCCCTTAATTTAATCACTGTTTAATTACTGCTGTCCCCTGAGGGGCGCTCTGTTAGGTTCAGTTACTGAGCTTTTTTCCTTCCTCTGCCTCTGTCTCTGGGTGCGTATTTAGCCCTTGGACACTCTCTCTAAAGCAGGCCACTCTCTCAGAAGCCTCAGCAGTATTTCAACCTTACCTCGGGGCCCCTTGCACAAATCTGCTGATGATAATGTCAAGGGCAAGCACATATGCATATGTGTGATGAAAGCTGCCTGCAGGAGGAGAGACACAGCAAACACACAACTTTATCCAGTAGAGCAAGGGCAGGAAAAGCTGGGAACATCTTGAAGAACTAACTAACCCACCCACTGCCCACTCCTTCAGGACCGCCCCTTCCCCTGTGTAAGTCTTAGCACGCAGGGTTGGGTGTGATCCATGAGCAGAGTAACTCATCATGTAGAGAAATCACTGCTGGATGGGGTGGTCAGGTTTACATAAATGCTTCCTAGCACTGGATAATGTGTACTGTCATATCAATGGCCAAACACAGTGCACATGTTGTGGTTTCTCTGGATTACCAGCAGCCCACCACCACAGATCCTACATAGGGGCCGCGTCAGGGGAATAACTCACATTTAGCTCTTAAGCTACAGCAATCAATATAAATTTAGCATGGTAATGATCAGGTGCAGGGGGTGTAAGTCTCCTGTGCCTCTCTCTCTCTCTTTTCCTGGTGTACATGCCACGGCGCTCCAGCTCCCAGAGGCCTCTGGGTAACACAGCTAAGGCTCCAAGCTGCACGTCAAACCTCAACTGAGGATTACAGCGGGGGAAACAAACAAACAAGGCTGTCTCAGAGTCTTAGCGACAGGCATAGGCAATAGCGGGGCGCTAGTAATGAAGCCACTGACGGCACACGCTTAATGCACAGACACAAACACACACACACACACACACACACACACACACACACACCTGAACAGCCCACAACCCTCCCTTCCTGGAGCAGCAGAGGTATTTTAGACCGTGTTAAGGATATAATGGGACAAATAGAGATGATGTGATGAGGGGGCTGTGTGTATGTGTGTGTGTATGTGTGTGTGACTGATTGATAGATGAGATGCTGTCTCTCAGGAGAGTGTCCGTGATGATGACTATCGCCAGGGGAGGAGAGTTGAGACAGTTTTTGCTCCTGGGTATTCAGATTGGAGTGTTGACAGGTTTATTATTGAAGTTTGTTTCCCCCTCCCCATTCTTTCTTTTGCTGGACGGGTAGTGTCAGGGTGCGATAGTCACTGTCTTCTTCTGTAGTTTTCTTCATGACAGACAACAAGTCTGCTGTTTCTACACCAGCTGGTCTCTTGCCACTCTGGCAGCCATTTCAAGACACCAGGAGGAGACAATTCAGACAACAATAACGTAGATTAATCAAACGGCTTAATGTTTTGTGGTCGGTTTTTATACTCAAAAGTTGTAAAGAATTTTACACTGTGAGATGCTGTGTTAATGCCAAAACCAAGGAGGATTGTGCCAAATGTAATCCCTTTAAACTGGCTCGCTGGCCTCGTTTGTGTCAAGCAGGACGCCTAGCCAGAGTACCAAGGCCTGTAATGCAATTGACGACCTGCTGCCTCTGACATTAATAAAGATGGAACATGTACAGGAAATTAAACTCTCACTTTCCTATTGTAATGAGATCTTATCCATCATGATACTGTTTACCTCACAATCAGATAAAATGATCAAATTGAAGCTCAATCAGGGCCTCGCGCAATGCCATCACTGTAACCCGCTGGCATTACTCTTCTAAATGGATGGAAAAGTGAATGGGATTTAAATAAAGAGTCTATATGTTAATGGGCAGGGTTTAGCTCCCCTGGTGATCCACTTTCTACAGAGATGGTGGGGAGAAGTGGTGGGGGAGGGAGGGAAGGAAGGAGCATGGAGTCTGCACTGAAGATGAATGTCAGCAGAGTGTTGTTGTGTTATACACATTTCTAATCTCCCTCTTCTTGCTTTAAAAAATGCAGGAAGGAGGAAAGTGAACATGTTGACCTCACTAAGTGTCTCAGGCATCTCTGTGTCCTGGTTGGCCACAAGAGGGAAGTAGCTAGCCACAGAGACAGAAGGCAGGCCACAGGTTCATAATCGCACTGGAGAGATGTGAGATATGTTAACTAAAATATATTATCATCTGCTTTACTTTTATAGATCACTGGAGTTTTTTGTCATTACATGAGCCTGTGATCTTTGATATAGAAGAGGGGAAAGTACCGTGGACAAGGAGACGAGGCAATGCAAAATTTAATGGTATTGGCTTTTATAGGTAATAAGGGGGCACTGATCAAAGGTTCACAATACTCAAAAGCAGCTAGGTTGCACTCAGGAGGGGGACCAAGTGCTCTCCAGCCAGGCTGAGTAAATTGCCAGATCAGCTAATCAGAATTCAACTGGAAGATGTAAGTTAGTGGATACTAATTGAAGACAGATTTAAGGGGCATCCAGCTGGATACGGCAACCCTCTCCCACTCTCCTTAGTAATTTCTGTTGAATATTAATAATGTTTTTTATATAATAGTGTATGTGTGGAGTGGGAGGGGGGTGTTCTCCAAATGAAGCCCCTAAAAAGCATCAAACATGCAAGATGAAATTACTCAAAGGATATCTCAAGCAGACTATCCATTTACTTGCCCTCTTCGCTTCTCTTGAGCGCGGGGAGGGCGTTGGTGGAGGAGTCACGCACTTGTGAAAAACGGTGCATGTGGGATGTTATCAGCACCTGCTCAACATGGGTATATGAGCCAATTAAACAAGTACGGGTGTATGTTGTCCTCCTCTACATGATTAGAATCACAATCCCTGGCTGTGTGGTCCTGCTTGACCCCGCTCACATTAAGATTGAATATTTCCTGGAAAAAGGTTCAGTTAATGAAGAGTATTGAGCCTCAGTCTGATCAAGAAGTAGGCCAGGATGGACGCTATTGCAGATTAATGAAGTTGCAGAGATAAGAGTGGCTTGAATTTGCATAAGACACTCAACAAGAATGAATAGCGTTATATATGTAATATAGGCAATGTAAGTGCTGTAGCATAAATAGACTTATCTGTAGACTGTATATAGTGAGGTGAACTACTGCAACCCTCAGTGTTAAGAGTATGCACTATAAATGAAAAAAACAACACATGTTACACTTTTACTAAGCTGATGTTATATTAAAGTCGCAGTGAAACAACATTTAGAGAATCTTTGACTTCAGTAATGTAATGTAATTCGAGTGAAACCAAATATGTAGGCAGGGTTTAGTTATGAGAGGGATTTAAATTAAGTCCTTGAGATTTGATTCAATTGCCAAAAAAGTGGGCTGGACTGTTCACCTCCGGCCACACCTCCCTCACCTGTGTTTAGGAGGAAGAGGATATGGGTTAAATGCAGAAAATTAGACCATCAACCATATTCTTTGAAAATGTAACATATATATAATATTGGTCTTCTAATATTTTTCATAATGGAAGGTATTAGCTATAGTCACCCTAAATCACATTTGATTGGGGGGATGACATGCAGCAAAGGGCCACAGGTCAGAGTTGAACCCATGGCTGCTGCAGCAAGGACTCAGCCTTGGGAGTCAGCTCAACCAGGTGAGCTACCAGGGTGCCCCAACAAAAGGGATTTTGATGTAATATGAACAAATAATTAATACAGGGACACGAGTGTAAGTTACAAATTTGTATTATTTTATTATTTTTGTATTTCACTGTATTTTAGTTGGTTTGGAGGATTCATGCTGTAAAGCCATAAAGCTGTTTTTCTTCATGGTCTTTCAGTTTCCGTACATTCAGTTGTGTGACCCTACAACACAATTTTTTCTTTGTGCTTTACAGTGGATCCCGATCTTACAGTGACAACACAGGGGCAAAGAACATCGTCAATATGGCATTCACAACTGCTGTTATTTCCCCCAGGACTTGGAATCACACATTTGAAACAATCCTCCAGGGACACATTTAGACAACAGACCAATCCAAACTGCTGGTAACTCACACCTCACTGTCTCACTGCTGCTTTTAACAGACTTTTAAAAGGGAAAAAGGATAAAGAGAGAAAAAGGTAGATAGATCTATGGACTCTATTAGTTGTCACAATCTGTGTTTATTTGTAAATGTTTTTTTGCACTGGAAATATGTAAAAAAACAAAAAAAACAATGCAAGAACAAACACATTGCAATACAATTTTAATAAAATACAATAATGTGTATGTATGTTCAAGACCTGAGGCTCAACAGAAAGGTCCTAAGTCTGTTTTTATTGTTTCTGAGAGATGCAAATTCCTTTTTCACTACCCCACAGAAGTGATCTTTACCTTAGAAAGACTCTACTGAAAAACGGGGTAATACACTGCAGAGGTATTTAGAGAAAATGATAAATCCACAAAGGTGTCATCATCATGGTGATTCCATTAAAGGTATGATTACTGTCCCAGATGTCAGTGATGATGGAGGCAACAAGGAGGTGTGTTATATTAGTCCCCAACGCCTGACAACCATAATATCTTTCCTCTTTTACAACCTAACTTTCTCTTACTCCACAAGGAGACATTTTCACTCTGCTGCTTTGATATGCCTGGCTGCTTGGTAGCTGTTGTAGAAAAAAAACCTCCCACTGCACCGACAGGTGTCTGATTTCTATTCCCATGGCAAACACACGCCACAGCTAGATGCAGATTGCCTGTGGAGATCACCGATTGTGCAAAATAATAGTGTATCTGGAAATACTGGCCCTGGGACAGTCTACAGGCCTTCAGATGAAATGTATGTTTGAGAGGAAATGATACAACAGTGAGGGAGTGATTGCCATAATGATAGATCCCTAACCAGACATTTTTCATAAATCGAAAGAAGGCGTTTAGGCCTGAAAAGAATCAAGAATGGGTATGTCAAAGTGTGAAACAAATTTGGAGAAAATGTTTTGGTACTAAATTGCTGCATCATGGATGCTTGGGATGCTTGAAGGTAATGGAGTTCACGTTCGGGTAGAATCAGTCAATCCATGAAAGTTTGGAAAGACTTGTTGACAGACTTTGATCAAGTTTTTCATCTGGCTTGTCTTAAATTATTTTTTTGATTGATGGGTTTATATTTGACATAATGCACTGCTGAAGCATGAATAAATGGAATCATTTTTACATATATTTAACACTTACGGTATATCAAGGCTCTCTTTCAATGCCATTTTCTTCTAGTATGCAAAATGGAAGGTCTAACCTGAGGGTATGACAATATGATTAGAATGGGAAGTCATTCCCCCTCCATCCTCATGGCCACTGTGATAAAAATATAAGAAAGTGATTAGGGAGGTAGAAAAAGCTTTGGTTCATTTATATTTCATACCATTTGAAAAAGTAATCTGACCTATAGACACAGTGGCTCATACTGGATATGGAAGTAATAGACATCATATAGTAGACATCTGTGTAAGACTGCTTTATTTCAATGGAATTACTGCATTATTTACGTCATTAAAAATCAAAACTACTGTATAACCCATATTCAGTGGACAAATGCATTAATACAAGGTTGGAGATGAAAATAAGGTGACAGCATGGGCACTTTGCTGAGAGATTTCTTAAATCAGACTGATCAGTCGAGCATAATGTGATGGTTATTACATTTAGGCTGTATATATGGATATCTGTCAGGGAATATGGCATGATGTTAGTGTGAGATCACATCAGATATAGCTTGAGAGCTTGACATCAGGAAGACTTTGGTTGAACTCCATACATTATTAGTGTGGGGATGTGTCAGTTTCAATTTTCAGTACGTTGCCCTTGTGGTTAATAATTATTTATATCTTTTTAAAACATGTTTTTTCATTAAGTCATGAGGGCGTCAATATCTTCACTCAACAATTAGCATGTCATCAAAACGTACGCATTTTGATTCTTCATTTTTAACTGTGCATTGGCCACTTGGGGGCAGCGAAGACAAGATGTAAACACTAACACTGACATAGTATCAACTTGCCTATTTACACATGAAGCAGATGGGGAGCAATATTGGCATTTATTCAGAGTCAGATTTCTGGCCACCCAACAAATGTAGGTCCAATATTCAGTTCCCTTTAACTCTGTTTTTGGTCTCCACCAACTCCTAAGATAAGTACTGTATCTCATTCTTTAAATGCTCCGAGATATGTTCATCAGCTCGTCATGTTGCGTCTGCTGTTGTGAAGAGCTTTTTTATGAAAAACTGAGAATGAATAAAAATAGTTAAAGTTGCAGGTTGTAAAACTAAAACAATTAGCTGATTAGCAATTAAACTCTCTGTAGTGCTGAGAGAAACTTGAGATAATTCTTTATTGTTCTCACTATAAGTGACTCTTTTCACATATGAGTTGTCATGTGATCCATTGTTATTATAAAAATATTGATTGTAGCTGCTTTAAGGCATGCATACTCGCATCCCTTTTTTATACCTTAACATACATATATGTAATATTTTGGAAATGTGTCAGGTGATACTGCAAACCAATTTAGCCGTGACACACAATATAGTGCTGTTTCTATGCAACATACTAATACAGTGGGTCAGTATTCAGTTTTAGTGCTACCCCCCATACACATTCAGCTCTGCATCACCGAACCAAGGTGAAGCAGGATACTGACATGCATTAACTCTGACCCTGCCCAAACATTTACATACACAAAACACAAACCACGTCTGTTGATGCCCCCATAAACATGACACATATGTGATGTGCCTGTCATACACGGGCCATGTCACTGTGACTGGGTGACATTGTGACAGAGCTCCTGTGTGCACTTTTGTGTACATGTGTGAGGTGGGACCATTGGGGGGGGTTGCATTTTCGGGTTTTTGATGAGTGTGATTGCGTGGGCACATTTATGCTGCCTCACTTTGACAGCACCGGTCTGGCTCCATCCTGCAGGTCAGCTGGGGTTTAATTGTCAACCTTAAATATTCATGGGCACATTGAGTAGATAAATGAAGGTATAAGCACACTGTAAAATTTTCAATAGGTCAGGTGTCACTGACTTCACTGGATACAATTTACTGTATGATCTGACATTCGCTGCAATGCCAATTAATATGTTAAGAGCATGAAAAGAAATCCTAATGGCATTTTCCATTTATGCATTATGAAGTAATCTACAATGAGATGGATACCTTTAAGACTAAAGGTGCACTGCAATAAAAAGGAGCACTTTATGAGGGTGTTTTATATTGGTATGAATCTATATAATTCTAACATAGACTCAAACCTTTGATGCTTCCAGTCATTACTTTTTACCTGAACATGTGCACCCTCTTGGTAACCCGACCACAGTGGTCAAATTATTTTACAGTTTATCATTATACTCTTGGACAAAAGTGATCAAACCATCTGTACTGCAGGCACCAGTACCCAGTTGCACCAGGTACACTTACAACCACTAAATTCAAACCAGTTGCACCACACAAATTAGTTCTTAGATTAGTTGTTATTTAATATCTACACACAGTACCTGCCATCGTTAACTGTGAAGTAGTTAACTAAAGTAAGTTTAGTAAGTAAACTTTAGTTTGGTAATATTTGACCCGTTTTTGACTGAGGAGTGACAAGTTATATAGAATATGGCCGACATATGCGACTGACGCAATTTTTTATTTGGATATTATTTGAATTATGAATTTTGGTTATTCTTCTATTTGTCTTGTAAAAGTGGTATAATATTTTTTGGCAAATATTTGTGTGTGGTCAGAAATAAGATTTTTACACAAACACAACCAAGTTAGAATCACCTTCTACCTTAGCAACACAATCAAAGCCAACTTAACCTTACTCAGCCACCCAGCTGTCCCCCTCTTGCCAAGGTTAGCATCCCCTCATCTTCTGTGCTTCCATCTTTCTCCTTAATGGCTTATTTGACGATAATTAACCCTGAATCCTACAGAGACAGGCCAGTGAGAGATTGATGGCCTCATCGGCCTGCTACACCTGTTCTGCTGCAAGGCTCACAGTTACCAAACCATGGCCAAATATGACTGCCCTGAAGCCCCGCATGTTGATGTCAAAGACAAACACAGGTCCTCCCCAGTGGCCTGGGTGTTCTGTATAGGGCAACATTGTGACCACAACCTCTGATTACACTCATTATTCCACTCAGGGCTGACTGCTGTAAGGGGGCATCCTGTGGTCCCTTTTGTCCCAATTAACTACACTGTCCCTTAAAACGTCTATTCATCTGCTACACATAATCCTGCATACAGATGCTCTGACTTACTGGAAAGCATATTTCGTCAGACCAGTCCTTTTGTCAGTGAATCCATTTAGAGGAGGAAGCAAGTGCTCATTGGGGAATTTTGCAGCACATGGGGCCTGTATAATTGACAGATGAAGTGAAATATTGGCGGAAGTTCTTTCATTTTAACAGTTGTGGCTGTTTTGCAGACCTCCACATTTATTCTATATTGAGTTAATATGAATATTCTTTTGCTCTTTTGCCATCTTGCTTGCAAACATGCAAGTTGAAACCACAGTTAAGCGAATGATACCAACACATGTAGCACACTTGATTTTGTTGTCAGTGTTTATCAAACTGTTCTTTGCTGTGGAAGATTAATGCTGTGAAAGCAAATCATCATGCCAATGCTGAATGGCATTTCCAGGCTTCGCACATGTGCTTGCTATTACCATGAACAGATGTTAATTACTTCTTCTTTTTTTTTCACTTTACTTGAGATGTTCCTCACTACCGTAGATGGAGGCCCTGGTCTTCTTCTCAGCATGTTGGGGTGAAGCCTGGGCCTCTGTCATGTTTCTGCAAAGGGGCTTTCGGGAGTTGGGGAATAATCAAATGCAGAAAAGTGTTTAATTTTTCATAAACAGAGGAACCACCGAATGCACACAACTAACAATGTACCCCAAAGCAGATGTAGAGCGTTTTTAATTTATGGAGAACTGAGCGAAATGGGCAGATGGAGCAAGAGGAGGTGGAGGCATGCTGAGGGACTCCACTTTTCTCTCTTCTCACCTCACAAACAAGAGAAGCCTGTGAGCGTGTGCCACAACACACACAAACACACTCCCACACACCGCTCAAAGACATGAGCACATGCACAAATGCAGACATGTACCACCCCCACTTCTCACTGCCGCCATCACTTCCACCACACAAAAACAGACGCGCACACACACACACACACACACACACACACACACACACACACTCTTCATCCCCCCTTTTTCAACACAATCCCACTCTCCCCTGCAACCCACAACAAAACACAAATGGATACATCCCCCTCCCACGCACACACATAAAACCAAAAAATTATCCCACCACCATCAGCCCCTCACAGACACACACAGGCAAATCCTCAGGGTTCGACTGGACCCGATTGAGAACACTCAGTAATGAACTGCCTCATGCGCTCTACAGAGTCTGCAGCAAGTAGACAGGCTTCATTCTGGCGGACCATATGTAGGTATGAATATGCATGGGAATCTGTCATACAGGCAACAAGCACTACATATATATGATGCCAAAGGTCACCAGTGTGAGGAGTGAAATTAGCTCTCTGTTGGGCATTTGGAGACATGTAAGACTGTGTTTAGAGGGCGTGGGTGGACTGTGAATCATGCTAATGTGTGAATGCAGTCCTTGGCTCACTTTTAGAGGACAACATTGATTGAGAAGTTTGGCCACTTAGTTTTATCTGTTTTTACTAGAAGTAGGGGAAAAATGTTGAAGTCAATTGGTGCATGTTGAAAATACACCAAGGCCACACTAGAGGTATTATGGTTCACTGATTTGTATGTAATTTGTGTCTCCCTGGCTCAGTTGTTGGTACAGCCTCATTTTATTTTTTAAAAGCCAAGGTGCTGCTCTATGTAGAATCTTTATGTTGAATTTAAACATGGGCTCAAATTAGAAAAGTATCTATTGTACTGTATGCAAATCATGATTGCAGACAGACTGTAAGGTTAGGGTACCAGAATTCCCAAGATCACATATTTGTAATGACAACTGTTTGGAAACTGTCTAAATGTAAAAAATTGAGAATAATGACTTATAAGGAAAAGTACTTGCCAAAGTGTTTAAATAAATGTTGCTATTACAGTCAGATTTGTAAAAAGGTTCCTTCTTGAAGAATGCTTCAACTCTGTTTTACTACTTTATGTTGT